GCCGGAAGCCCCCCCCCCCACCATTTGTCATGAACCCTGCGCCCCAGTCCGTGTTTCTGGGGTGGCTCGGGACTCCGGTGAGCTGAGAGGGGTCGGTCTGCCCCTGCCCGTGGGCTCCCAGCTCCCGCAGGGCCGGGGGGCCAGGCCAGAGTCCGGCCGTGTCTCGCCCAGGTGGCGTGGTGGCAGGCCGGTGTGCGTGCCAGCCTGAATGACCAGGACCGCTGGAGATCAGGTTCCAGGCGGTGCGAGCAGCTCCAAGGACAAACGAACAGGCAAGAAATGAGTGCGTGACACGCAGCAGTCATAAGCCAGCTATTTCCATTGTTTTCCAGCAGGCTTTGTACCTTCTCAAACACACGTGGAAAACCTCCTGCTGCTTAGAAATCCCAACCCGGAGGAGCAAAGTCCGTGCCAGTGGGCAGCTAGGGGAAAAGGCTAATAAACATGAACACCCTCTTCGCACAAGGCAGGACCGGCCAGGGTGTGTGTGTGAGGGTGAGTAGGTGTACCTGTGCCTGCAACGTTTCCTGGGTAAAAGAGAAATCATGCTTTTATAGTATCCCCATCCCTCTTATCTTAGGCTGTCCTCTCATTTGTTCTAAGGCCAGCACAGGGAAGCAGTTTTGCAGAGTTGTCTGAAAATAACTCCTCTGGGAAGCTGCTGGCGGTTCCAGTTGTTTTGCTTGGGAAGAGCAGAGCTCAAGCACTTATCGCTCAGACCTGTGGTGCCATAGGTACGCGGGGGGCTTTGCGGAGGAGCAGGAGGGGTCCCAGCGCTGGAGGAGGAGAGAGCGCAGGAGACGTGCAGAGGGAGGGGTCAAGGGAAGGACAGGGCTTGCATGGCGTACTGCAGGGAGGTTATTTCTGGTGCTGCATGCACATCGTGTTAGTTCCTGTTTTCAAGCTGTATTGTTTGCAAGATTTGTTTGGTTTGCTCTGCCCCCCCCCCCCCCCCTTACTTTGCAAATGTCACAAAGACGAGACCGTGGTGGGAGAGCAGTCACAGTGGAAGGATGTTTGGAGGAGGGATCTGAATGTGAGGGCCACCTGGGAGTCAAGGACAGGCAGGTCGTTCTGTGCAAAGGGATAGAAACTCTCCAGAGCAGCATAAAAAAAGATAAAATCAGGAAAAGCGTAAAGGAGCAGGGTACTGGCGGTACGTGCAGAAAGGCAGAGGTGAGGTCATGGTGTTGGACTCTGAAGGCACTGTGATGCCAGCCCAAATAGCAGAGTGAAACAGGAGCATGCTAATGGCAGTGGGGCATGCAAGGCAGGAATGGGATCCTGTGGGAGGAGATCCCAGTACTCCTGTTGTGACATTGCCAATGCCAAGGTTTTGGCTGCGAGAGCACATGAGGTGAATCAGAGAAGGAATCTGTATGATTAAACAGCAGCTGAGTGCCAGAAGTGAGGACCTGTCAAGGATAGTATCAGCATTGTATGTGTAGAGGACAGCGGATTTATTTGCCACGATAGAAAAGGATTTGAAAGGGAATACAAGAAGCTCATACTGAGTCTGAGTTGGCAGCGAGGGAACTTGGGAAGGGTGCCAGGAAAAGCGTCACAGATATGAGGCTGAAGTGAGAAAGGAGTACAGAGCACAGGGGCAGCTTCAGCAGTCGAGAGGTTAGGAACGGGCACGAAGGGCACAGGCAGCCAGCTAGCAGGACGTCTTTTGGGGAGGAAGTAACCAAGCGAAAGCCCAAACCCCTGCAAGATGGGTGCAGAAGGGTTCAAGGTTTTGTTCTTTATCTTTAAGGCATTCAAGGGCCTGGGCTCAGCATATCTAAAAGATCACATAATGCTCCCGCACGAAAATGATATTGGCACTTCTGGTCGCTCCTGGGGCAAAACAGAACTTTTACCATCAGGGTGAAGTTCATTTGTCCAGGACACAGCAGTTTCCCAGGGGCCTGCTAGGAAACTCCCACGGGAACTCAGAAACCCCATGAATCTTTCCCCTTCCCCCCCTCCACAAGCAGAGTGATCTGCTTTTTCCTAATTTAAACACACAATCTGTAGGGAAGAAAACGTTTATACTGTTGGCTTTAAAAAAATAAAAAGCCCTGAAAATCCTGCCAAAATAGAAACTGCACACAAAGCCCTGCCCATTGAAAGAGGGTGAGAATGGATGGAACAAGACAGATGTTACTTACAGTCTTAGTGAGCTACTGGAAGAAATATCAGGCAATGGTGA